CAGACTCTAGGGCCTTTGACCCTAGGGGTGGCCCGCCCCTTCTTCCCCTTCACCACCCAAAGCACTGCCTAGTGCTGGCCAGATTCCAGGGACTTTCTCACTCAAGGGATGAAACAGGAAGCCCAGGAAGTAATTGTGGCCCCAAGCAAGATGTCCACAAGACCAACTCCAGCATGAGACGGAAGGAGCCTCCTCCTTCGTTGGCCGCCCCTATTTGCATAGCACTCCCCAACCTCTTTTCTCAACCTTGGAAGAAAGGTCAGTTGGGTGCCCGTGTTTGCCCGAGGGTGGGAGCCGCTGTGTGAGGCAATAGCGCCATCTCGTGGTCATGCAAGGCGTCTCCCTCGGGTCCCAGCCTCCCACAGGAGACCAAGGTCTTCGTGGTACCCACCCTGGTAATCACTTGGCAGCAAGGAAGAAAATGACAGCCCAGCCCACGCCTTATGGCTAAGGTCAGTGAGCCAGATGGGAATGTCAGAAGGGTGCTGAAATCAGACCATCTGAGAGTAGGAATAATAATAGGGACTAGTCTGGTGATTTCATTGGTTAGGAAACTTCCTCCACCAACACAGGATCCTTACAGAGCTGCCCAGACCATTGAGAGGTCAAGTGTCTTGCCCAGGGTTGCATGGCCAGTCTGGGTCAGAGGCTGGTCTTTATGGCTTCAAAGTCAGCTTTCTATCCACTCTGCTGCCTCGTAGGAATAATGACGACAGCTGACCTTTATGTCGCATTTTAAGGGTTGAACAACCTTATTCTTTTCATTTGGTGCCTGAAACAACTCTCTGAGCTTGGTGTGCGACAGAAGAGGTAGTCCTGAATCTGAAGTGCCTAATTTAGAGTCAAACGATCTGAGTTCAAATCCCAGCTTTGCCTCTTAATCCTGAGTGGCCTTGGGCAAATCATGGAGTCTTTCAGAGCTTGTTTCCTCATTTGTAAATGTCTCTCTAGTGCCCCTTCCAGCTCTGATCCTATTATCTCCAAGGAACAGGTATCCCTGTGTTACAGATGGGGAAACTAAGGCTCAAAAGTAGGAGAGGTGAAGTGACTTCATCAGAAGTTTGGTTAAAACCTAGGTGCTCCTGGCTCCAAGGCTTTCCCTTTTTATATTATACTAGGCTGCTAGAAAGGACCCTGGATCTGTCTAGTCTAAATCCTACCTGCAACATGAGTACCCTCGGTAGGCCTCCTGATGAAGAGTCGGTCGTCCTTTGTTCAAACATTTTTAGGGACAGGGAGCTCACTACTTCAAAGAGGTGGCCCATGGTGGGCCAGTCGAGTGAGCCTTAAAAGGACTGAGGGCTTTCCAAAAAGCTCTCCTGGGTAGAGATGGGAACGAGACATAGAACATGCCAGGACATTCTGACTCCTGGCAAGACTGGAGGTCCAGGGGCCTGGGGAAGCTGGGGCCAGATCTGGGGCACTCAGGGAAGCAACTCTTAGAGTAGCTCTTTTCCAAAAGCCCACAAGGCCCTTACATATAACTGTATATATGTTTATATATAGTTTAGTTATAAAGTTATAGTTATATACATGCACATATATACATGTATGTATATATGTGTGTGTATATACATATATACATATACATATACACAAATATAGGACATCTAGGTGGTACAATGGATAGAGTGCCAGGCCTAGAGTCAGGAAGACTCATCTTCCTGAGTTCAAATCTGGCTTCAGACACTCACTAGCTGGGTGACCCTGTTTGCCTCAGTTTCCTCATCTGTAAAACGAGCAGGGAAAGGAAACGGCAAACCACTCCAGTATTTTTGCCAAGAAAACCCCAAAAGGGGTTTCAGAGGGTTGGATATGAACAAACAACATGATACATATTATATATGTATATTTGTGTATACATATATGTATATAAAATATGGATATATACCACAATGTGTATATATGTATATATACACATACATTCACAAGGTATCTATGTATTGCACATGCATACATGCTTATATATATGTGGATATACATATGCATATATATGTACACCTGTATGGATGGATGGATGCATGTAAACAGCTTGTGAATTCCCATCAGCATCATTACCAAGACAAACACTCTGCCCCTTCTATACTATACACCCCTCAGGCTGCCTTTTGGGGGGGAGTTTTTTTTCCTTTCAAGGCTCATGGATAACAATCTTATCCAAGCTAGAAGAGATCTGGGAACCCACCTAGTGCAGAGGTTCTTAACATAGGGCCCATATACTTGGTTTAGATTTTTTTTTTCAGTGTAATTTCATTTTGATATAATTGGTTTCCTTTGTAATTTCTCTCTCTTTTATCCCATGCATTGAAAGCATCTTTCTTCACCTGACTGCCAAAGGGGTCCATGATACCAAAAAGGCCCTAGTCCAAGCCCCTGGTTTTACAGAGAAGGCAACAGGCCTAGGAAAGGGAGATGATGCATGGCCTGTCCAAGGTCATTTGCTTTCGCTAATCATCATAACCTGACTTCACTGTGATAAGCAAATGGAGGCAGGGGTGCACACAGTATGATTTGCCCAAACCCCATGAGCCATACCCATATCTCCAAAGAACGCTCTAGGTGGAAACATCCTAGGCTTGTGGGGGGTGGGGAGGGTGGTGTTTAATATTGATGGGTGGTTATGATTTCTGCATAATCCTAAAAACCTCATCTCAACCTAGAGGAGTGTGGTATAGATGAAAGAATACTGGAATGCAGCTAAAGGACTTAGATTCGAATCCTGTCTCTGCCACATATTACCTTTGTGACCTTGGACAAGCCACTTAACTTCCCCAGTCCCGTTTTCTAATCTGGAATATAAGGAGTTTGGACTAGCAGGCCTCTGGGGGTCTCTTCTAGATCTAAATCGATGCTTCTATGAACCCAACATCCCATCTCTTTTCAAACACAGCCCTGAGTGGAGGTGAAGGAAAGTCTGCTGCTCAGCAGAAGAGGCAAGGCCCCAGAGGTGAATTTCATAGTCCAACCTCTTCATTTTTTCACAGGAGGAGGTTGAGGTTGAGAAAGGTAAGTTACTTGACCAAGGTCACACAGTTAGTGGCAGTGACCACTAGAATTTAGCCCTCTCCATCCAGGGCTCTTTTCATGACCCCAGGCTTGCCGCAGATCCTATAAGTGGATGGAGTTGACTCATCTCTTAGCGCTGTGTAGAAGCAGGGTGGCCCAATAGAAAAAGTGGCGGCCCGTGGGGTCAGTGGATTTGAACTCAAGCTCTCACACACACCAGTTGTGTGATCATGGGCGACTCGTGACCTCTCTGTACAGTCCTAGTTTTACCATGTGTAAAAGGGGGATGTTGTGAGGAAGGCACTTTGCAAATCACAACTATTATATTTACAAGAAAGACCCTCCAGTCATCCATGTACAGGTGCAACACCTCCCTTGGTACCCAGGAAAAGGGAAAAACGGGAGCGGAAGTACTGGAACCAGAAGAAGGCCATGCCAGGCTCATTGCCCAGATCCACACTCCAGCCAGCAGGGCACCCTCAGGACTTGGAGTAGAGCCGGATCCCACTGTGCACTCCATCCTACAAACAAGGCTGGTTTCTATGAGCGATACCTGCTGACACCATCTTACCTTGGGACTGGAGCAAGGAGCTTCACTAATCAGTGACTGGTCCGAAGCCCTACGCTGCTTCTTTCCATGGGACTCCACTCAGCACTGGACCTCTCAGAGCTGCAAAACGTGTTCATTAAATACCTGGAACATGCAAGGTCACAGCTAGTCACTCCTAGGGAGCGATAGGAGCAGGGATGCACTGGAATCAGTTCATACCAGCTCTGAAGAGCTGATCGTTAAATTTTCAGTGCAAGCATTTGCATCTTGGGAATCATAAAATGCTGTAAAGCAGGGCTTGGCTTATTGTTTTGTTGATTGTATCAACTTTTAAAAAAAGTTATAGTGAAAAGGTTAATAATGCAGATTAAACTTTTTTCTTTTTAGGCAATTGAATATAAGTGACTTGCCCAGGGTCACACAGCTACTAAATATCTGAGGATTTGAACTCAGGCCTCCTGACTCCAGGGCCAGCCTAGTTGCCCTGTAGATTAAACTTAAAAGTGGAGCTAGATACATTTTTTTTAAACCCAAAGAGCCCTTTGTTTAAAATTTACCAGCACATCCCTGCATGAATCATAGTTCTCTACTGAGACCTAGCTAGTAAGAGATTGTATTATTTCCAGAGACCTTCTCTTCATGTAAAGGAGAATTAAGGTTTCTTGTGTTTGGTCCTAGGGGCTAAGGGTGTAAATCCCAAGAAGGCAGTAGTTTTATACGAGGAAAAAACAGTGTGGCACCAGGCAAATCACTTTGATCTTTCTGGGCCTCTGTTTCCTCCTCTGTAAAATGAGAGGTTTGGACCAGATGATTTCTAATGTCCCTGCCTCTCCCAAATTTATGCTCTCATGATCCTAATAAAAGCTATTCCTAAGTGGAATGAATTGTAGTGCCTTTCTCATCACTGAAGGAATTCAAACAAAGGTTGCTTAATCTCTGAAGGGGGTTGGGTACTATAACTGAGATGCATAGCAACCCCTAGTTTCAAAGATTCTGTTGTCAAATCTGTTGAGGGGCAGATCCCAGCTTCCTTCAGTTAACCACCATTAGCCAAAGATCCTAGAGTCCCTGGACCTCACATTCTTTCCTTGACCCCTTATTACAGCTAGGGAAACTGAGGCCCAGGGTGGGGGGCATCATCCATCAGCTAGAACCAGTCAGGGCTGGGTATGGGTTGTAGAATGCTGCCCCAACTTCTCCACCCTCATCGGTGGGCTTCCTTGTTGTCCCTACTATCTTCTTCCTCACCCTTCATTCGCTTCCCCTCCCCCTAACATCTTGGTAAGCAAATGTCTAATTAGAAAGCCACTTTCTCTAGGGCAAGAGTGTGAAGACAGGGATTGGAGGACATGTGGATTGCATTTCTGAGATGACACAATTCTCTACATTCATATTGAAAATATATGGAGTCTAGAGTATTTCAAAGACTGTCATCTGCCCTCCGCTGTAATATTTCATCTGCCTCTTATATATTTTCACATGATCTTTTAATGGTCAAAGTGGTACATTTTTATGAACAGACAGATATATACACACACAATAAAATTCGGTGACACAGAATGGAGGACTCCCTGCAGGGTTAGGGCAAGCTGTAGGGGGTGCTCCCATCTTCCTCTGGGGCTGAGGGTCAGAGGATTGAGCAGCAGAAGGGTGGAGGTGGGGAAAGGTCAGGAATCAGACACCTTTCTTCTCCACTTGCCACCCATAATCAGTTGGTATCCTTTCTCCACGGAGAAGACTCTTCAAAGCTCCCATCATTAACATCTTTGAGGAAAACCCATCATGATCTGTGAAAAATCTCTTATTTCCCTCTCCCACCCCTACCCTCCTGGCCAAATTTTAGCCAGGGCCTGCGGAAAGTGAAAGCTAAATTGATGCTGAGAATTGGGGTGGGTGGGAGCAATAAAGATCGAATCCAGGCAGTCGTAGACATGTCTCTTCAGTTGGCATGCCTCCAAATTAGGGTGATCTCCTTTGACCGCCCCCTTGCAGCACTGGGGTGTCTGTCTGCACCCCCTCACAGCAGACCCAAGTACTTCTTTCACATTCTCCGTCACACACCTGCTGGTGGAATTTCCTTTTCCTTTCCCTAAAAATCTTCCCTTCTTATCTTCCTTCTCAGCCTCATCTCCATAGAATTCTAAAATGTCAGAGACTACAGGGCACCCCAGAAATCATCTACTCCAAATATTCTCATTGTGTAGAGGAGGAAACAGAAGCCTAGGGTAGAAGGGGGAGTGATTTGTCCTAGTTCATGAAGCATGTCAGTGACCAAGCTGGGCCCAGGCCCCTGCCTCCTGACTTCTAGCCCACATAGTACAGGAGAAAGAACATTGGACTTGGAGTTGGGACACCTGGCTTCCAAATCCCAAGCTGTGCTGCTTGCCAGTCATTTAACTCTGCTTGGCCTCAGCTTCCTCATCTAGAAAATGGGGGAATTGGTAGGGGGCCTCTTGAGGCCTCCTCTAGCTCTAAATTTCTTGAGTTGCTCTTTCTACCAGACCACACTGATCTCACAGAACTCATTCCATCCCATGTTCACTGGAAGGAGGTTTGTTTTTTTTCTTTTCCTTCTTGAGAGGTAAAAATTATCTATCCCAGCCCCTACAGGGGGAAGGGTGGTGGTGGTGGTGCGCAGGCCTACTCTATAGCATTAAGGTCAAAGGAGAAGAGGTTGGCTGAACTATGGTCTGCATACTAGACAATTCGGGCTGGCCTTTCTCCCAGATGGCCTTGGGGACCACAGGACCCATTGCTGTCCATAGCGGTCAGAAACAGTGGGAGGGCACCCCAACCCCATCCTGCTTCTAGGTCATCCTGCATCTCCTAGGAATACCACCAGAGTGCAAGTGTTGGGTCTCCTCTCTGCCATGCTTTTCCTCCCTAGTTCCAGGACAGCAACATCTCCAGACATCCGTTCTGGGCTCCTCCATCTCTGAACAGCCCACACATAGGACAGCAGGACGCACAGTGTTTGTTTGAGAACAGATAGGCTGGGAAGTAGACAGGTAGGCAAAGATGATCAGGGTTCCTTCTCTCTCCCCAGAACCTTGCCAGAAGGAAGCAATTCCTGGGCTTAACTGATCAGTCAGGGTCTCCCTCAGTTGAATACTCTTGGTTTAAGGAAGACTAACTTACTAAGGATAAGGAGAGAGCCAGGGGTGTGGCTTGGGGTGGGGGTGGGGACAGGATTCACTAGACCCTGTTCAGCATTCTGTACTAACCCTGGCCTTCATCTGACCCTGGCCTTAACTTGCCCCTGCCTGAGAAGGGTTCTCCCAGAAGTCCTTGGGGGTTCCCATTTATAATCAGGGAGAATCTGGCTGCTTTAAGGGTTTAAATGGTTCCCTTCCCACCCCTAGGGGCATGTCTTCTGCTGCTCCCCGCCCCAAGAACACTGTGGGGCTCCAAGCTAGGCCTGGTGTAGGACTGGGGTGCATGGCTTGATTATAATAAGGCTTTGGGTTGCCTTTACACAGCTGGACTCCTCCTCTGGCCTGCTCCCTCCACACCAGCCCACAAGCTCGGCCCCACCGGTTACACCCCAAGAGTCAGGATCAATCAGTGAGGCAGGAGGCAAGAAGAAGCAGCAGGGAGGGAGAGAGGAATCTTCAGGGAGAGGCTTCCACATGTGTATACACATGCAGACACACACACGCACATACTCACACTCATACTCATGCATGCACACTCACACGCTCACATACACTCACATATATCCTCCCAGGTGTGTGTGTGTGTGTTGGGGGGGAGACTGGCTCTTATTCATAATCTCCCTCAAGCTGGTTCCTCTCATTTCTTCCAGTCAAAGTCAGTCACCTCTTTCTGAAGCCAGGCCCTAAGGCTTCCTCACAAGTACTCACAGACTTCCTATTGCTGTCAGACAGAGTAAGAGGCTGAGTTAGGGGAGTGAAGACGGATGGGTTTTTCCAAAATTTGGGGGGTTTTTGTTTGTTTTGCTAGGGGATTGGGTTGTGGGGTGCAGAGGAAACGGAGGGAGGCTTAACTTATGCACAGGCAGTAGAGCGAAACCTCCCCACAGAATCCAGGCCCCAGACACACCACTCCCCACACTCACACACACTTAAACACACACACACACACACACACACACACACACACACACACATCCATGTGCACACTGGCCAGCTGGTCTTCCTGCCTGGGCCCTGAGGCCCGCTCAGTACCCTGACGTGAAGGTGTTATTGAAGGTTTCAGTGTAGAAGCAGGTGCTATGGGAGGTACTGGTGAGGCTGTAGGCGAAGTAGGCAACGGCCGAGCCCAGAGTCAGTCCTGTCATGTAGGAAACCGTCATAGTGTTGCCTGGAAAAGAGAAGAGAGTACCTGCTTATCCCCCCTGAGTCGAGGGACCGGGGCCCTGCTGAGGGAAGCACTGGCCTGACCCCAGACCAGGGGTGGGGAACCTGAATCCTTAAGTGTGGCCTTTTGACTGAATCCAAATTTTACAGAACAAATCCTTTTGGATTTTTTTGATTTGTTGTGGGGCCTTAAAAAGGGATGTAAGCCTACAACCGCTCAACTGAAAATCAATTTAAGAAGGTGGGCCCACCCTGCCCATCCCCTGACCTCCATTTGGGTGTGGAGATGCCCGTTACCTAGATGGTTCATGCTGTAGTACCTGGCTTGGAGTCAGGAAGACCCGAGTTCAGATCTGACCTCAGATCCTTCCTAGCTGACGGTGACCCTGAGCAAGTCGCTTAACCTCTGTTTGTCTCACTGTAAAATGGGGATAATAACAGCAGTGTTGTTGTGAGGATCAAATTAAATAATATTTATAAAAAGTGCTTAGCACAGTGCCTGGCATGCAGTAGGTGCTGTCTAAATGCTTATTCCCTTTCCTCCCACTCAGCTGCAGACCTTTGTTGTGCCTCTGACAGATGGCTCTCCATCTTCTGCTTGTGCACTTCCAAGGACAGGAGGCTCACTACCCCCTCACAAAGCCGAAGGTTCTTTTGTCATCAGCTTTATTTGCTGGGAAATTCTTTGATATAAGAGCTGAAATCTGTGTCCCAGTTTGTTTTTGCCCATTGGTCCTAGCACTGCCCTCTGAAGTCACACAGAATATGTCTCAATTCCTTTTTCGGGGATGTGGGGGGAAGGGAGGACTAGCCTTGGGATTTCATTTTAAAATTTATTTTATTTCTTTATTTTTAGGCAATTGGGGTTAAGTGACCTGCCCAGGGTCAGACAGCCAGGTAAGTGTCAAATGTCTGAGGCCACATTTGAACTCAGGTCCTCCTGACTCCAAGGCCGGAGCTCTATCTACTGCGCTAGACTTGGGATTTCATCGGAGTTCCTGGTGAGGAATTTCCTCTATCAATTGATTTTCACAACTACCCATGAAGGTAGATGCTATTATTATTCCCATTTTACAGATGAGGCTAAAGTTAAGTGACTTGTCCAAGGCCACATGGGGCTAACATCTGAGGAAGGATTCAAACTCAGGTCTTTCTGATTTCAAGACAGGCACGCTATCCATTCTACCACCTGAATTTCTTGTGCTGAAATGGGCATTGCCAGAGCAGAGATTGTACTGAGAGCGGGTAAGAGGAGAAATGGAAGATGGGCACTGGGTGCCTGAAGGAGAGAACCATGGGGAGACAGTGGGTGAGGGAGAAGGGCAGAGAAAAGACAGAGGGGTGATCAAAGACAAACTTCAATGACATCAAATTTTTGCTGGGGACAGGCCATTCCAATAAGTGACAATGGCCTATGAGATAACCTCTCTGGGCCTCAGTCTCTTCAGCTGTAAAATTAGATTACACATAACTGCAAAGATCTTGTCCAACTCTAAGGTTCTATAAAACCCCTAGAAGGGCCTGGGTTGGGAGGGATACAGAGGGAGTGAGGAAGTATGTGGGATGGCAACTGTGAGTTTTTAACCTAGTGGTAAGGTTGGGATCTTGTGGAGCTGGGCTCATCGACATTTATGGCCTTGCCCAGGGTTACTAATGGGCAGCAGAACTCACATTGAACCAGCTTCCCATACCTGCAAGCTCTCGATGCTCAGGGCTCACTTTGCCCGCAGCCAGGATCATGGGCACGCTGCCAAAGTAGCCATTGCTGATGCCCATGAGGAGGGAAAAGATGCAGGGCCAGGCAGGGTGACTGAAGGTGGGCTTCCCACTGGGGTACACACACAAGATGAAGAGAGGGATGAAGACAACCCGTAGGCAGGAGTAGATGAGGAGGTAGGTCCCTCGCCAGTCATAGGGCAGGGCTGCCAGGATCTGTAAGAGAAAGCGAAAGGCAATGGGAGCCACAGTGGACGTGGTGCCCAGCCAGGGTGTGAGCAGGGGCCAGCAGGCGGAACAATCCAAGTCAGCAAACATTTAGTAACCATGTATAGGGCACTCTGTAGGCACTTGGGGAAGATGCAAAGTTCAGTTAAGACACGATCCCTGCCCTCATGTTGCTTATGGTCGAACAGGGGGGTAAAACAAAAACACAAATAACTATTATACAGAATACTAAAGAAGACAGGCAGTGTGTCACAGTGGTTAGGGAGCCCACCTCGAAGCCAGGAAAACTTGGGAGAGTGTTCAAGATACAAATAGGTTGAGAGGAGCAAGAGGGCATTCCAGAGAGGGAAATGATAACAATTAACCAGAAAAATATTATAAATATCCCTTTCCCAAGAGAGGCTAGAGTTAAAGGCTAGAGTTAATCTTGAAGCCAGGAAGACCTGGGTTCAAATTCCAACTCTGACACATGGCCCTGGGCAAGTCATTTGACTTTCGCAGTTCTGTTAGGTCCTTATGGAAAATCTCTAAGTCCTTAGTGACTCAAGGGGTCAGTACACACAGAGGCTTGCCTCAGGATAAACGCTCCCTTGACTTTTACCCCAATTCCTGTTTGTTATTGTTCATTGATTCCAAGACCTTCCTCATGATCAGCCTTGAAGCCAGGTGGCTGACTCAGGTAGACTATACTGAGAACCCGACAGGAAAACAATAGTTATGAACTTTGGCGATGTAACTACTTTCCCATGAGAAAAAGATGATCTTTAACTGCTCAGTTTGTGTATGTTAGTAATAGCGCTTCACAGAACTTGTGACTCATTTTTCACACTACAAAGTTGTTTTTCTATGAGTATATAATGAGAAAACTCCCGAAATAAACTAGTCTTGAGCATTAACCTCTAAGACTCGCCTAGCCTGACTTTTCTTTCTCCGTTTTTCCTCACCACTCTGTCCTATACCATACCAGCTGCTGGCACAGTTCTCTGAGCAGCTCTCTACACCTAGGAGTTTCAGCAAAGACATTACGCCCTTCATGAGGCAACTAGATGGCATGGTGGATAGAGTGCTGGGCCTGGAGTCAAGAAAACTCATCTTCCTGAATTCAGATCCAGCCTCAGACTTACTAGCTATGTGATCCTGGCTAAGTCACTTAATCCTGGTTGCCTCAGTTTCCTCATCTGTAAAATGAGCTGGAGAAGGAAATGGCAAACCACTCCAGCATCTCTGCCAAGAAAACCCCAAATGTGATCATGAAGAGTTGGACACAAATAAAATGACTGAATAATAGCAAAGCAGAAGGAAGAGTAGTTGGGCAGTGTTATGAAGGGTGGATCGGAATGGGTAAGGAGTGCGGTCAGGATGAGTTATTGGGAGGCCATCGAATAATCAAAGGATCAGGGACATAGAGCTAGAAGGGATCTTTGAGGTCATTTAGACCAACTCCTTATTTTATAGTAGGGAAACGGAGGCCCCCAAAGTGAAGTGACTTGCCCAAAGTCACACAGGTAATAAGTAGCCATGATAGGATTTGAACCCAGGACCTCTGATTCCAAGTCCCAGATACTAGATTGGAACTGTGCCAGGCCTTCCTCCCGGGTAGGGCTGCTTCAGAGTGTCAGATGCTTCAGGGCTGGGCATCTGAGTTCTAGAACATGGAAGTTCTAGGAAGGACCTGGGTTCTAGGAAGGTGCTGCAAACTGTTGAATTACTCTCCTGTGGAAAACTGGAGTCTATTCATGTCCAGCTTCAGGTCCCCCTACCCAATTCATTTATGGGAACTAGAGTCATAGAGCCAAACAGAACAAGATTCTTCGGCTTATTTCTGGGCAAGCAAAGTCAAGATTTAGATCAATCACAGAAAGGGACCCAAGAACCTCTTATGGACAAATTCCTTTTTTTCTACTTGTGGTTCTTTTTAAAAATTAATTAATTATTATTATTATTTTTTCTACTTGTGATTCTTACAGAGCCTGGGAGGCAGGCAGGCCCTGGAATATTATCCTCATTTTTTTTTCAGCTGAGGAAATTGAGAGTTAGAGCAGTAAGTGACCTGCCCAAAAGCCCCCAGTAGAGTCAAGATCAGAATTCAGGTTTACCCAGTTCAAGGTCAGTGCGTTGCTCTGTGCCCAATTATTCTTCCTTCCAATATCTCTCCCACTAACTTGTCTTGGGACATTACATTTTTTTTTAAATTTTAATTTCTGGTTCTAACTTCTTTCCCTCCCTCCAATCCCCTCCCCCACCCAATGTGAAGGTAAGAATATGGTACTCATTGTACATATACTGTCAAGTAGGTGACGTTCCTAAGAGCCTTATGCAGACACATGCATCCTATGTCCTGCCCTCATGATGGGAGAGGAGGGGGTTAGTCTAACTAGGTTAAACTAGTTAGATAACTAGGTTATATTATCGGAGAGGGATAATATAGTTAGTTTATGTAACTAACTCATTATCGCCTGCTTCACCTAAGAGAAAATAGGGACTTGAAGAGATAGGGGAAGAAGAGGGATGAAGTATTGTTAGGGAAGAGGTAGAGAGAGGTCTGAAAGATGGGGTACTACTACAAGAGTAGTGGGGGAAGGAGGAAAGGGCATTGGTACTTCTGGGATCTTATCCTATACTCAGTTGGCATGCCAATCTACAATAAGGTGATGAACTTACCTCTCCCAAAGGCATTTGTGTTTTAATGTAGCTCTCCTGAAAACTGAAAACCCAGTTGGAAAGGTAGATTCTTTTTTTTTTGGTGAGGCAATTGGGGTTAAGTGACTTGCCCAGGGTCACACAGCTAGTAAGTTTCAAGTGTCTGAGATTACATTTGAACTCAGGTCCTTCTGACTCCAAGGCTGGAGCTCTATCCACTTTGCCACCTAGCTGCCCCAGAAAGGTAGAATTTTAAGTCTTGGAAGACCTAAATTTGGGTAGGGATGTAGAGATAATTCATATGGGATGGTCTTCCCAGTATCCGTCAAATCAGAACATGCAGGTGGCCGCCTACTTCACCAATGCATAAGGCCACCTGGGGACAGAGAGGTGGGCTGTTCAGCCTACTTGGAGCTTCCTCCTAAGCAGCCCTTTCACTAGGCTCAGGATCAGTTTGATGTGCCCTGGGGCCTACCTTGCCCACGAAGTCAGAGAGGTTGAATATGGCCATAACGAGGATCGGGAGCCACTCGCCCAGAGTGCAGTTACGGATCTCCGATTCCAGCCCGGGAAAGAGGCACAGCGTGATGAAGTAGGACATTGCTATGGAGAGCATGTAGGCCCAGATCACCCGGGACACCACATAGCGTTGCAGCATCATGGCTGGTAGGAGGAAACACCCAAAGCTCTAATCATCAGCATGCCCCCCTCCCCTCTTTTCCTATCATAGAATCATAGACTATTTGAATCCAAAGGCACCGTAGAGACCACCAAGTCCAAACTCCTCGTTTAAAAAGGAGGAAACAAATTCATACAAGGTCACTCGGTGGTTAAGCTAGAACTTGAATCCAGATCCTCTAAAATCAAGTGGTCCTTCCATCAACTCGCTCTATCCATAGAAGTGGTTCAAATTGTGGTTGCCCCCTGGTTTCTGTGGGACCCACTTGGTATCTGGCTGCTCCAAGGAAAAAGGTCCTTAGGCCATGAAGAGCCCTGAGAGGTTATCTGGTCTACACCTCTCATTTTACAAATAGGGAAACTGAGGTCCTGAAAAATGAAGCCACTTAGCCGACGTTATGCAGCTAATTAGTGGCAAAATCAAGTCTACAGTGCCTCTGGTTCAGACTCGTTTTTGGAGGAATATAGCCTTCGAAACGGGGCTTTGGTGGCTCAGGAGTAGCAGCTGAGTTGGCAAGGGCTAAGCCAATTTAAGAATGGGATGGTGTCAAGTTATCCAGGCATCATTCTAGGGGACACTGGCATAACCTCAGGATGATTTCAACTCCTACATGGACATGTGGTCTCTTCCATTCCCTCTGACTTCCCCACATGAATATGTGTGAGAGGTGAAGAGGGGCAGATGTTGCTAAGCCCTAGACAAGAATGACCACCCTTGCTAATCTGGTGGGGGAAAGAAGGCACAAAAGAAGGGTCTGTTTTGGGATAGCCCTATAAAAAACAGTGAAAGGGACCCTGGAATCCCCTCACACCTCACTATGACCTGTCCTTCAACACTGATGGCAACAGGAAGACTGACAGGACTGTCTGTCTTCTTCTCCCACTCTCTTCCTGCCCCCAACTCCATCCCTGTTCTTTTCCCTCCAGCCCAATTGGGACGGATGCCCTTTCTCCTACCTCGGAAGTTGGGCCAGCTCCTCTTGAATTTGGGCAGAGGGACATCAAATCTCATGTAGGTCCCACCACCAGCCAGCTCAGCATCATGGCCCACACTGCCCTGAGGAGAACCCCCTGGACCATGATGGCGATCCTCCTGAAAGGGTGGGAGTGGTGGGGAAAAAAGGGAAAAAGGAATCAGGGTAAGCACGATGGAAGGGGCCACCATCAATGCCCTCGAAGAGATCCTTGCATCCCAGAACATCAGAGCCAGAAGGGACATTGGACATCATCTAGTCAAACCCCTTCATTAAAAAAAAAGATTTTTATTTCTATTCTGCACTTAACAATTGGAGTATTTGCATATTCATGGTAGAACAGAAAAAGAGAGAACATTATATATGAAATTTCAGATCCCTATTAGGTACATATTACTTTACTTTAAATGTATATAATACATTTGACCTGTAGCTTTCAAAGAGATGCTACTTGTGTCTAGCCTTCCTTCTGTATTTTTCTTACCATTAAAAAAGAAAAAGATGTCTCAACGATCTTCTTTTCTTTCTTTTCTCTCTTTTGTTTTTTTGGTTAGCCTATTCTAATCCTCCCTCACCTTTCCACTTCTTGCATTAGATAAAAAAAAAAGACAAAAACAAAGCCTTTTCGCAAAAAAGCAAAACAATTTCCCAAATTGGTTATGTCTAAAAGCATATATCTCATTCTGCATCTCAAGTCCATTGTCTCTCTGTCAAGAGGTGTTACCTCTCTCCCCTCATTTTGTAGAGGATGGCACTGAGGCCCAGAGAGGAGCACCAATTTCCTGGAAGCCCGCATTTTAATTGGGAGAAAAAGAGCAGGGGAGTAGGACAACCTTTTCAGACTAGGTTGAGAAAGTTCCTACTGGTTCAGGTCACTACGGAGTTTCCTGAGATCTGGTCATATTACTTTTCTGCTCAAAAATTGTTGGAGCCTCCCAACTTAGGAAAGTTAACTTAACTGTCCCCTATCCCTGGAATGGTCTTCCTCCTCATGTCTGCCTACTGGTGTCCCTGGCTTCCTTTTTTTTAGGCAATTGGAGTTAAGTGACTTACCCAGGGTCACACAGCTAGTAAGTGTCAAGTGTTTGGTCTGAGGCCGAATTTGAACTCAGGTCTTCCTGACTTCAGGGCCAGTACTCTATCCACTGAACCACCTAGCTGTCCCTCCTGGCTTCCTTTAAGTCCCAACCCCTCTTAATTCCAGTGCCTTCCCTCCATTAATTATTTCCTATTTATCCCCCTATTTATTCTCTCTCTCTCTCTCTCTCTCTCTCTCTCTCTCTCTCTCTCTCTCTCTCTCTCTCCACACACACACACACACACACACACACACACACACACACACGTTTATATGTTGTCTCCCCCATTAGAATACAAGCTCCTTGAGGGTAGAGACTGTCTTTTACCTCTCTTTGTATCCCCAGTGCTTAGCATAGTGCCTGACACATAGTAAGTACTTAATAAATATTTATTGATTGGACAAAAAAAGTTAACTTAGTAAAGTTCATTCCCCTCTGTCTGGCATGCAAAGCTCTTTGCAACCTGGCACCAATTTTGTTTTTACAATTTTTTTTCTTTTTTAAAAAATGTGATATATTTTGTTTTTCTCCCAATTACATATTTCTTTTAAAATGTTTTATCAATCTTCTTTTACATCAATATCACTTCTTAATGACCCCACACCTCCCCCACAAAACTCTCCCTTGTACGGTCAAGTGAATCAAACCTACACATTGGCCATGTGTGAAAATTCAGTGCCTCATTTCACACTTATGGTTCACCACCTCTCTGCTGAGAGACAGCAGATGTATCAGCCTTAGGAAATCATATCGATCTTTTCTATCAGATTGATCATAGGCTATTCTTTTCTATGAAGCCCATACTCTAGGCAAACTGGATGTATCTCTACCTCCTTAGTCTTCTTGTGTCTACACCATTGTTAAAGGTGTTTCTTCTGTCCCCTATCACCCTGCTGAATTCCTACCCAACCTTTTAAAATCTAACTCCTCTCCAAAGCTTCCTTAGATGTGTCCCCCAATCAATAACCTTTCCCTCACATTTCACCTAGTAATCATTTTGTCCCTTTCTTTTTCTGTCTTTCTTTATATTCCCAATCCTTAGCATAGTGCCTGGAACACAGTAAGTGCTTAATAAATGCTTGCTCACTGACTGACTTCATAGGATTAGAGATTTAGAGCCAGAAGACACCTTAGAGGTCACCTAGTCCAACCCTTTTAAATGAGATAACATCAAATGTTTTGCAAACCTTAAAAAGCTGTTTTTTTTTCATCAATGAGAAATTGAGACCCAGAGGAGTGAAATGACTTGGTGAAAGTCACCCAGGTAGTAAAGAGCAAAGCCAGGATCCAAAATCCAGTGCTCTTTCCACCATACCATGTTTCCTGCATCATATAATACTAAAATTATCCGTGTTTGTGTCTTATCTCCTCACTAGAATGTAAGCTATGTGAGGGCAGGCAACTTGCCTGAATGGAACTTTATGTCTTCTGGAGACAGTGTGGCACTACAGCGGTTTCCTCTGTCTGCAATGTCCCCTGCCACCCTGTTGAATTCCTCGCCTCAGAGCAGAGTACTCTATCAGTGGATAGAGTACTGGCCCTGAAGTCAGGAGGACCTGAGTTCAAATCTGGCCTCAAACCAAACACCTGACACTTACTAGCTGTGTGACCCTGGGCAAGTGACTTTAATCCCAATTGCCTAAAAAAAAAAAGTCTGAAGACCTGGCTTCAAGTCCTGACTCTTTCACCTGTGTGACCTTGGGCAAGTTACTCAACTTCTCTGGGTCTCAGTTTGTTCACCTATAAAATGGAGGGGGGGTGTTGGATTAAATGGCTTCTGAGGTCCCTTTGAGTTCTAGAGCTAAGGTCTCTAGTGTGGTGCTTTGGACATAATGCTGAATTTCCAGGAATTCAGGATAATGCTATTGTTCTCTTACCCACATTGCTATAAAGACAGGAACTGAGAAGTATCTCCTTGCTCTTGTGGGGAGAGGAGAAAAGGTCCTATAGGGACATCATGGTACAGTGGAAAGTATGCTGGGCTTTGGAGGCAAAGGATCTTGGTTCAGTTTCACCGCATCCTGGATGGATTTGCAGTCAGGCAGCTCTGAGTTTGAGTCTCTCCTCAAACATTTACTATCTGTGTGACCCTGGCAAGTGACTGACCTCTTGGGGCCTCAGCGAACTCCTCTGGAAGATGAGGAGATTGGGCTAGACAGCCCCTAAAGTCTCTGAATTCCAAGCTCTTCAGCACTCATACCTTTGAGAGCAGTGATGGGCAGGTGTATCACCTCCATCCACCACTAGATGGCATCCCACGCTTAGCCCCAACAGCTGTGCAGACGCCTCTGATCAGGCTAATTGGGATACAGCTGCGGTGGGACCAGACCCAAGTCCCTGCTTCCAAATGTGCATTCTGCTTAGCCCAGCAAACGTTCCCTAGGTGCCCATCGGCGGGGACGCCCTCATACATCCTCCTCAAGTTAGGGATCTCCCACCCGTTCACGCGATCCGCCAGCTGAGAAATAAGCCTCGCAGGCCAGATGGGCAGGAGTCTGGGGCAGATGGGTCCACTTTGTCATCTCCCATCCGCAGAGCCCTGGGTTGGGGCCACTGGAGGCAAGCTCAGTCTCAGCTTCGCAGTGGACTCAAGTCTGGAGGGAGAGCCATTGCCACGGATTTCCAGGCTTCAGAGACATAATTAGCATCTGACCCAGACTCTGTCCCATTTGGGGCTTGCGTGGTAGGGTGGGGAAAAACAAACACTGGTTGTGGGGTCAGAGTACCTGAGTTCAAATCCTGCCCAATGCTTAACCACCTATGTGGTTTATGCTTTTAAAACCCTTCCTATCCTGGCCCCTTCCTACCTGTTCTGACCCTGTCTCTCTCCAGTCAATAAACTCCAGCAGCTCCAGGATCAAATATAAAATACTCTTTTGGCATTTAAAGCCCTTTCCAACCTTGACCCTTCTTGGCTTTCCAGTCTTCTTACACCTTACTCCCTTCCTCATACTCTAGGTTCTAGTGATGCTGGCTTCTTTGCTCTTCCTCAAACATGGCAGACATCTCCCGACTCCGGATATCTACCCATGCAAGGAAGGCTTTCCCTCTTAATCGCCGTCTGCTGGCTTCTCTAGCTTCCTTCAAGTCCCAAGTAAAATCTTACCTTCTACAAGAGGCCTTTCCTACTCCCCCTTAATCTTATTGCTTTCCCTCTGTGACTACCTCCAATTTATCTTGTATATATCTTATTTGTACGTAGTTGTTTGCGTTCTGTTTCCCCCAGTAGACAGGGAGCTCCTTAGGGGCAGGGACTGTCTTCTGGTTTTCTTTGTATCCTCAGTGCTTAGCACAGTGCCTGGCACATAGAAGGTACTTAATCAATACTTTTTGACTTGTTGACTTTATAATTCCAGAGGAGTTACCTCTCTGTGCCTCAGTTTCCTCATCTGCAAAATGGGAGAGTTGGACTAGATGGTTTCGGAGTTCCCTTGGAGCTCTAAAACTATGATCCTATGACCCTGTGGCCTTCAGAGGTAGAAGGCATCCTTCAAGGGACTCTAAGGATGGGTCCTCTCACACAGTACTTCATCTCCAATTTCTGTGCTTTTGAAAAGGCTGTCCCCCAGGACTGGAATCCACCACTTTCACTGCTCCATCTGGTAGAATCCTTTTATTCCTTCAAGACTCAGCTCAAGTGCCACCTTCCACATGTGGCCCTTCCTCATCCCAGCCCCAGCCCCAAATGCCCTCCCTCCCCCAAATAGCATGGATTTATTTTGCATTTACTCTGTATATATGTCCACGTGATTTTCCCCGTTAGAATGTAAGTTCCTTGGGGACAGGGACTATTCTATCATTGTCTATAACTCCTAACATCTAGCACAAGGCCTGGGAAGTAATAGGCCTTTATTAAAAGCTTACTTGGATAGGGGCAGCTAGGTGGTGCAGTGGATAGAGCTCCAGCCTTGGAGTCAGGAGGACCTGAGTCCAAACCTGGCCTCAGACACTTGACACTTACCAGCTGTGTGACCCTGGGCAAGTCACTTAACCCCGATTGCCTCATCAAAAAAGCAAAAAAAAAAAATTAAAAGCTTACT